AAAATAAAATTGTTTTAGTACTATTCCTTGTGTGGTACACGTCCATAACATTGCCTGTAATGGTCGTTGGTTCGCACAGAGTAAGAGACAAATGCTTGATATTCAAAGTCGAATCACTATGAACGATTGACGTTGTAGGTAATCAATTATAAATATTTTTTAACAAAAGGTACACTTGCTAATCTTAAAATCACGGAAAATTATTATTTTTATTTATTTGCTCTGCTTGCCTTCTCTCGTTTCTATGATAGATTACCGTGTGCTTTTGTTTCTCACTGTATGTAGTTGGTGTGCATAGGATAGGTCTGCATAGAATATGCAAATATTCAATGAATACTTAATGCAAGTAGCAACACTCCCATCGAACTGAAACAAAAGGCCCGACCTACGAACCTTCCTCTTAGAATCCCCACAAGACACCAACCAACTAGTACTGAATATCGAGCATCGTCTAACTGGTACTGAATAAGTAATTCTTATTTCCTGTAATGTTGATTGTCGTGAGTGAAAAGCGAGGAGAGAGTGTCATTATGTTGACCTTGCGTTGTGTGGGGCGTTGACCGCGCTGTTTTATGTTGGTTCAGTTTCTGCAGTGCAGTTTGTCTCTTACGACATTCGTTGTTATCTGTGTACGTACTTTATTATTTTCCTTCAAATGTCACTGGCAATCATCGTCCTCTCTAAGTGTTCATTATCACTTCTCGAACAACTCCCAACTGCTGTTACGAGTAAAGCTTCGAAGCTAGTGGATGTGTATTTAGGGCCACAAAAAGCTCTATGAGAACTCTTAAGAGAAGCTTTATAATAATAGCACGGTTACATTGCAATGCTGCAGAACATCGATTTAAGATTTTACCGCGAATACACATTTTGGGGTCCCCTGATGACGAGAAGGTGTTTTTCTTTCAAAATTTCTGCCAGTATGTGAATAACATTTGCGCTTAAATTATTCGTACGATTTTTTCTAAAATGAAAATCCCTTATCAATGTGTCTCAACGTGAAGCCATGCTAATTTAAAAGAATTCTTTGAATTTTGGTATATCTTCATGTTATGTTCAGAATTTTCTCAAAAATTCGTTTTTTTTCTTTAAATTTCTGGTAATAATAGAGTGAACTATATTTATAAGTATGGCATAGGTCCAAATTACAATGAACTCCAAATTTTCGAAAATTGTTTAAGTTTGAAATTTTATCGACGTCTATTTGTAACTAAATATTCAAGATGGAGATGTTTTCTTCAAATGAAACTTGCGTCCATTTGAAGAAAAAAAAACACAATTAGTTCTCTTAACATGTTTCATATATTTTTTGAAAATGGTAGTTTTCGCGCAATTTTGAGTGAAAATGGGCAATGTTAGAAACAAAATTTTCACACAAGCGTCCAAAATTTTTATTTCAAATGACAGTACTAGTATTTTAGTAAAAGATGAGTTAAATTTCTATAACATTCTTGCTTTGTTTTTACAAATTTTCATTTTCACATTCTGCTGCGAATGAACTTCATTCAGTGGATGACCAGATTCTTACTACCGTTATTGTAGAATGTTTTATTTTGACGACAAAAGCCCTTGTATCTGCATTGCATCATACGACTCAAACGTATGTTCTGTATGGGGTTCTTTAAGTTCTACGAAAAAATGAAAATCGAATGATGCCAGTGCGAAACTGAATGAATAATCAACAACAGTGGTGTGAATAAGCTGCATCTTCGAGCGCTCATTGCTCTGATTGCAACACTGCAAATTTGTGCGCTGTTTTTTCTTATATTTCCAAATTGCCATCTATGATCTATTTCCACATTGTCATCTATAGTCTAGCCTGTAGGCTTGAATTCGATATGCACAATAACTTGTTTATAAAAACTGAGCCCTGGAGTTTGCATACTGACGTCAGACTTGAAATGTTTTGGCGCAGGTGATAATTTGTGAGGGGGGGGGGACTCCATAGTTGATCCTTTTCTTTTGTGGATCTAAGTGATGAAACTTGTACTGATTCCTTAATCAGCTTTCAGTCTCCACGAATGACTATCTCCGGCACATTTTATGCTGTGAAGAAACTTTTTATCCCTGCACTTTGGTTCAATCACATTGATAGTGTGCTGTTACGCGCCGGCTTTTTTTTCCTTCTTTTTTTTCGTGTTAAGACGAGTGGTGGGGGTATAAGCGTCAATGAAGCGAGAAACGGAACTGAGTTGAATGTACTGCCGCGGGTACTCCGAATTATTTTTAAAGAAACAAAAAAAGTAGGCATTACTTTTTAGCATGCGTAATACTACGTGTGTGGTTCATTTTTTTGTTCATTTCCTCATTGTTAGCTCGTGTGTATTAACTGTATATTTACTACGTGTATGTAACTGTCTTTCTTGCTTCCCCGGCAAAGAAAAAAAAACTCTTATTAAAGTAGAAATCTTCGTCAGTTGTATTTCAATTTAGAGTTTTGTCTCTTAGATTTATTGTACAGCTTGTTTGTGTTATTAAAGAATTCAGGATGTGATAAGTGTTTTTTACGTAAGTAGAGCCACTTTGATAATCTCACAATACCCAATTCCGTCATATGCTAGTGGTCATATCGTTAATAGTTGTTCAACTAGATGTATGTTGACATAACTGTTTTGCTGTGGAGTAATCGCGAATCGTCATTACCCCTATCATAACAGATAGTAGTGGACTAGAAGATCCACTTGAAGGATTGTGGCTTTGGTGCATTGCATTCTACTGTTTGGCACGGCATGCATTTGATGTAGTCTTGGTGTAACTCCTGCTAACTGTCAGTTCTAATTTACCATTTGAACATGTAAGGTGGGGATTCTTTGACGGGTAAATTATGCAAATCTCTGCCTTCGCCGTATACATTTTTTACAGTGCCCAGGCGTGGAACGCATCAGCAGATTTTAAATGTAGATTATAATTCGTTCTTAATTATCTTTATTATGTTCTTGGCGCTGCAGATTCAGCGACAATGCTTAAATTCTGTCACATCTCTGCGGTGAGAGCATGTGTTGTCAATGTCAAAGAATTCCAGGTGTGCCTGAGGTAGTAAAACTTCGGCTTTGAACGCAAGAGAATACGAAGTGTTGCAAATGGAGTGCACTTTCCTGAATCTTATTTGCATGGTTGGTCTCCACCTTGACAAAATTCATTACATCCAATGCGTACACTTGTACATTTTACATAAATTCCATATTTAATTTTGAACTTGATTTAATATTTTTTGCAATATACATAATATTAATAACAAGAATACATGTAAACCATGAAGCCATATATTCTACTTAATGGAGATAAAACTCTCATTTCACACTTTTCTTTTTCATTTTATTATTGTTATTGTTGTTATTATTATTATAACTTTTTTCATTTTTCTACTATTTATAGTTAAAATGTTGGGAAGGGTGTCTGTAACTCCAGAAAAAGTGCGTAGATGATCTTCTCTCGCATACGTCGCATACTGGTTTATTGTTTTTTGACTGAATAAATACTAAATTATAAAATGCATTGAAACTTCAACTTGCATATTTTTAATATAGGCCTCGAATTTATTACTTATTTTATTCTATGACAACTGCCACAACATGTAAAATTTTGACTTCTTTTTAATTCTATTTTCATTCGATTTGGATTTAATTGCGATATTCCCCTGTATGTGTAATGTTTATCCAAGAAGTTGTGCTATATCACACAGAGTAATCACTTTTATAAATGCCACATGTGTAAACACAGCTAGTGTTTTCGGAACCATTGTCTCGCGGTTGTTTCGCAGTTTTGTATGTTGTGTCAATCCTTCTGCGCAAATCATCACTTGAAAATTTGAAATATTCACTTTCATACGAGATTCTCTCTTGAATTTAGGCCTTCTCAAATTCAGCAGCGATTTTTAACATATCTATTTCTGTAGTAGAATTAATACATTTCTAATGGAATGAACATTCCTCAAGAAGTCTTTACATACAGCAACACAATGTGTGGCATTTTAGAACGGGACGGGTCATGCTCGGGTCCACGTGTGGTGTTGGTAGGGTGGGAAGGGGTGGGGGGAAGTAGGAAAGGCTCAAAACGGGGTGAGTGGGGCAGATTGTAGTCGGATCTGAGCGGGACGGAAAAGGAAGGAAAATTTACTTCCACTGTGGTTAGAATGGGAGACATCATGGCTCGTACATTAGTTTTCGTGTCTGAATATATTAATACTGTGAAATAAATAGACGGCCAATGTTGCGTACTTTCAACAAGATCATAGAGTAATATAGTTATTATACGAGTGGTAAAAGTGGTATTTTATTGTAGGAATAGAAAAGCTTAGGACACGACACCGATAGGCCGAGGGCAGCAGTCCTACGATGAAACGCCCTACTGTCTTAAATTGTATTTGAACTCAAGTATAGAAATCATTTAAATGTGTAGTATGTTTCGTTAAGATCAGTAGAAGCTGATGATCAGACGTAAGTATTTTGTTTTCTTTGTTGTATTCACAGTTTTATCTGAAGCATCGTCTCACTTTTAGCACTAGTGCCAAGCACGCTGTGAATGCCCTAAATGTAAACGCTTTTACTAGTGGCTGTCTAAATAGCATATTTTTATTTGCGCGCTTCATTTTTCCTATTTGCATGAGAACTCAAAATGTCTTACGAACTCAAAAAAGTGATAACTTTTTAAAACTAAAATCTTAAAAGAAACTGAAAGGCACATTTGTGTTTGCGCCTTCCATTTTTTTCTTTTGCATGAAAACTCAAAGATATGATAACTTTTAAAACCTAAAACCTTGAGAGAGAAAAACGCCCTAAAAAGCAATTTTTGTTTGCGTCATTCATGTTTTTCTTTTGCATGAAAAGTCCAAACGTTTTGTGGACGCAAAGAAATAATGACGTGTACATTTAAAAATGAAAACCTTGAAGAAATAATAACGAAGGCGACCTAATTTTGAATGGTAGCAGTGTTTGTATTTTCGCGAGTGGCTTGTGCATGAGGCTTGTGGCTGCGAATGCCGCATGTGTGCGTGTGCCCAGGCATGAACCTGGTGGCCAAGGAGTTCGTGGCGTGCCAGATCAACGAGCCGCCCGGCGTGCTCATCGTGTCGCCCTTCGCCGGCGCGGGCGAGATGATGCACGAGGCGCTCATCTGCAACCCCTACGAGATCAACGCCGCCGCCGAGGTCATCCACAGGTGAGTGCGCCCCCCGCCCGCGAGTGCATAGTTCATTTGAATCCTTAATTCAATTCAAAGCGAGAATTAACGTAATAGATTTAGAATTTTAGATACAATAGCATTTTCTTTATAAAAGAATTTGGAACATACATCATGTCTATAATTTGTACTTTGTCGTAACGGAGTAGAGAGAAAGTTATGTGATACTGTGCGAAAAACAACACATTTTCGGGTGAAAAGCTTTTATTACAGAGCCCTGGTAACGAAAAACTGGATAAATGAAGTTACTAAATGTAGAAGAAAGTCCTCTAATACCATGAGTGTAGCCAGAATCTCCAGAATCTTTTGTGGGTCTCTGATACCGAAATATTGAATGGCAGCACAACGCCTTTCCGACTGTCCATCCGTCTGTAAACAACGCCAGCAGCTAAACCGTTGAGCCGATTTTCACCAAAATTGATATTTCCCAATCAATCTAGGTGATGGCGCGGCTCCTTGAATTTGAAACCTATATTTTAATTTTGGGGGATATTTTACATGAAGCCCCTGCGACGTTTTCCAAATTTTCATAGAAATGGCTCCATCGTTTTTTATTCAATTTTGTTGTTGGGTAGTGTGAAGGACGTTTAAGAGAATGGTGCAGGTCTCATGTTCGTTAAAAATCCTAATTTTTCGAAAAATTCCAATTTTGTTTTGTTTTGTTTTAGTCTTACTACTACTAAAAATTTAAAGATAAATATTTTTACCTTCATAAAATCTGCTCCTTAAAGATAGATTTTGAAATAGTCATGTACAATTATTCGAAAATGTGAGTACTTTCGCGTAATTTTGAGTAAAAATACGGGCGAGAAAGTACGCGTTTTTTCAGCACCACTAGTTTTTGTAAGTAAAGGTGGGAGAAACTCGTGAATAAGGATGAACAGTGTAGATTTGTGTACAAGCTGGTAAGAGCATGTTCTCGGATGTACTCTTCTTTTACTTATGAACCGTAAATATAGTTTGAATCCCCTTCCCAGCCCCAGAGGCGGATACAAGAGTAAGGTGAGCCTCCCCTTTCCCGAAGCCAACATTTTTTTAAATTTATTTCATTATCGTGTTCTGATCACCCCCATTCTCTTTTTAAATATCTTCCTTTAAATTCAAGTTAAGAAATAAAGTAATGTTTATTTTTGGAAAACTGTTTACCCGGCTTCAAGCTGAAATAGTCTCCCTTGCTGAAATACAGAATACTATTGAGCCCGGAAACGTCACCGTGTTATGTTGTGTAGACATTAAAGTAAAAAGTAACTGTGTTGTGTGTGTGTGACGTGTTATCACGACGATCATCCCGGAAGCCGCACTAACTGCAGGAGCAGCGAGAGAAGAAACGATCGCTGGGGGCAGCTAGCGCTGGTTCGCTCCGGAAACAGGCGCTCAGGGTGGTTGAGCCGCCGGCCGATGTTGATATGGACGACTCGAATTAGATAAGAATTTGTAATGAACGGAGTGATATATTTCTGAGAAATCCAAGATAATATGTAGAGAAAACTGTTTAATGCCGTTATCGAGTAGAAAGGTATTAAATTGAAGTTTAATCATCATGAAGTTCGATAGAGAAAGGTGGGCAGGTATCAGAAAGGCATATGGACGGTTAGATGTGTAAATTAGGAAGGAAAGGTGAGGAAATATCGGGAGAGTAATGTATGAAGTTGGGGTGGAATGTGTAAGAACTTTCGTGATTATGTATGTGAATACAAATCAGCTGTAGCTGTAAAGAATGCGGAATAAATGAAGATGATATAGGAAAACTGAAATGGCTTGTCACGACAAGACATCGCATTCGAAGTGAGGCTGTAACATGGCGGAAGGAAAGAGTGGTAAATATTGATGTGATGCGCGCTGTACGTTGCAATAGTAGACAAAAACTTTCTTTTAAAATAACAATGCAAAGATGCCTACTATTGTGGACTGGACGGAATCATTATAGAATTTGATATAGTTTTGCAGCATTATGGTAGAAGATAATGAGGTGGTGCATTTTGTACTTTCACGCCTCAGTAATGGTTACGTAATATAAAACAGCAATTCCTGTCCAAGTTAACTCGTCTGTCTTCACACGTAAAACTCATTCCAAATCTTACAAAATTGGGTGCGAAAACTAATATCTGCTACAATTAAAACTGCTTTTAGAAAACAGCCAGAAAGTCTCCCTACAATGATAAGGAATTTTCAGAATGTACAATATAAAAAGCCTTTTGCGGCGTGGCGATGTTAAAGATCTGATTTTTTAGAACACATTTTATTTAACAAACACTCTAGATCATCCATATATACTTTTCTAACATTAATTGTTTGCAATTTCGAAAATACAGCGTGTTCACCGACAATGGGACCAGCGCCATTTTCTTTACCGTTCTTTGCTACGTACGACAAAAAGCAATGAACAATTTTGAAGTAGTTTTCGAGAAAATAATAGCTTTAAAATGTCTGACGTTTCACCTAAAAACTACTGTTTTTTTCTAAAAATTGAAATTGCTCTTATTTAAAGATCTGTTTATTAAAATATTGATTAAGGGAGAAAAGTAGCCTATATCTTCATTATTGAAGTTTTCGGAAGACGCCGAAAAAAATTGAAAATTTTCAGATTACGAAAATGTGACGTACGCTATTTGTTTAACCGGCCTTTGCTCTCTGAGGGGGGAAATTGAAGGAAACCTTTTTAAGCCATTTTTGAGATTTTTTTGGAAATGTTGAGACTGTATATAAAGTAATCCTTAAGGTTAAAATATCCGTTTCAAACTCAATGGGTCGGGAGATCAGTCTTATCGATCCGGGAATATCAATTTTGGTGAAAATCCAACCGTTAGCGTTGTTCACAGGCGTTTTGCCCTCATTCGATTTTTGGGTATCAAGGCCCCACGTTGATTGTGACTTCACAATATGTTAGCGGAAGTAATTTACTATACTAATAGGAACAAGATTTATCCACTTTTTCGTTACCAGGGCCCGGCAAAAAAGGTTTATCTGTCGAAAAATCGCCGTTTCCCACCCCCCGCAACATTATAATACTTTATACTGTGTAAGCACTGCGCACGCAGATTGTCCGTTCATGAACGATTTTTGAACTTTTTATTACTATTCTATATTTCGAAACGACGTAATACAGTTGAGGACAACAGCTAAAATGACTCAAGTGTATGAATGTCGCAAACATTTTTTAAGTGGACGAGAAGCACTTTGAATTTCATCTTTCCTACTTCACCAATGAACCAACATGTCTAACGAGAACTTCAGATATGTTTTCCGCCTTATCGAGGATGGCCGTTAAATAATTGTTCCTGAAATTTATTCATTTTACTTCAGTTTGCCCTGTGAAGACACGTGGGTCCACCATTGTTCTCCGGAATCAAAACGTGCCAAAAAATCGAAGCAGTAAAAATATCAGAAAATATCGATGATTGTATTAAAACATCGATGTTTTTGAAAACCGATGTTGCACGCCTAATTTTGAAGGTGCTGCATTGTGGTTGGGATTAGTACCTCCTTGCCACGACACTAACCCAAACATCCATATCCAAGGCGAGATTCGAACATGCATTTCGTGGCTGCAGCTGAAAAAATCAGCAATTTTTAGTTCAGGTAAAAAATAATACAACAATGTACTTATTTGTGATAAGGTTAATACTCCAATACCTGTTCAGAATGTTGATAAAGTTCGACCGATGCCTTAAAATTTAACTCTCCCACCGCCATGGCACCTGTCTGTAGCAGGGGTGGTTTGATGGTAGCTCGCAAGCCCCAGAGAACGTTTGAAACCTCCTCGTTCCCATACATTGCGGCTCAGCTGCAGAAGCGGGCCATTTTTCCTGCTTTGCTCTGTCTGGCATCTTCAAAACACCGAGATCTAGTTTCCTTTCTCGAAAGCGCCGATGATTCATGGTAATGACTCATCTGAAAGTGGAATTATATATTTTCTTCTCGAATGCTTTGTATTTGCATTTCTCCGTGAGTAGTAATTTACTAAGCAAAACTATTCGTTAATTAAGAAACACGCTGTGTAAGACGTAAAGATGATTCCAATCAATTTTCTGTTTTTGTGCGAGTCGGTGCACAAGTAAAGTGACACATAAAAGCGTTCCAATTTCCGTTTAAGTCAAGAAATAATGGACAAAATGGCCAATTTTACTGAGCAAATTGCCAATTTTACTAGGGAAAACGTCCACGTAGTTTACAAGTAGATGAGTATCACGATAAGTTTAGACCAGAAGAAAACTGCTCCGCTCAGGGTAAAACCTACATCTTCTCCCAATTTTGAATTATTGAGATGTATCTTTTCTTGCGCACCTACTATACGTCATCAAACGTTCACCCTTGGAAGCGGCTGAGAGAGCTGGCGCTTGGTCGTTGGATCCACTGCAAGGTGATTAGTCTCGTAGATGTACAAGTTACATTCTGGGAAGGAGGTGGCGATGGTTCTCCCCCGCTGAAACATGAGATCCGACACCGACTTGCATGTCGGCTAGCACCTTTCCAACCTGGAAGGGTAAGCATGTGTGTGGGAAATGGGAGAGGAGGGCAAGAAGGATAAAGGACGTTTGTGGCCCCTTTGTTATGGTACTTCTCCGGCATTCGCCTGGTGTTGATCGTAGAAACCACCGAAAGCTACCGATCATCGCAGCCGACTGCATGAATTCTTCTCCAGTCAGCCACTGAATTCGACCTATAGTACCATTTGTTTAGTCGTGCACTTGACGTAAATCAGTTGTGGTTTCAGCCAACCGGAGGCTTTTATGTCGCTACAGTGAGTATGGGGACGTTCAAGCTCCCGATTGGACGAAACCGTGAACAGCTGATTTACGTCAAGTAAATCCTAGTATAAATAACTAGTAACGGAAAAGCCGACGGGACACGAACTTCAGACACACTGCAGAATAGCAACAGGTGTTGCCTTGAGGCTTCTCAGCCGGTCCCTGACTCTTGGAACCGGATGAGAATAGAGATACCGAGAAGTTTTAATTTCCATCCGCACCGTTTTGGGT